TCTGGCCTCATGTTTTCTAGGATATTGTTTTGAATTGTGTGGAGCTTGGGTGGACAAAATGTACAATGCCAAGAAATCAGGAAGGTTCAAAACGCTGCGGCAGATCTGCTAAATGGCAGCCTGTAATTTCACACTGAGACTCGTGCACTTGATAATCATTACTGGCTTTGCTGCCAAGAGCACACAGCTCTCAGGGTTTTTTGTGTTTGTTTTTGATTTTCCTCTTGAGTAAACATCTCCTTATCTCTGTGAATTACTGCATGTTTCTAAGCTATGAATAAATCTTTCCGCTACCTTTCGTTTGCATTTTTTCTTTTTGCTCAGCCACACATAAGATTATACATGTAAAGAGATCAAACATTTTTCTAATTGTGACTCAAGATAATGAAATTTCACTTCCAGCTGACCTATAGAGCAGAAATCTGGTATCTTCACAACATGAGGTTAAACATATATTTTCCAGAATTACTTTATACCTGCTATTTACAGTTCGACTGACACAGTGTATCATATGCAGTTCTGTGTTTCTCTGCCTTATCAGAGCTTTCATCTGCTTCATGCTCACCACTGTCAGATGTTTACATGAGAGGCACTTCAGAAAACACTGTTTATAGTGCATGTTTATATTAAAGCCTAAGGGATGCAAGAAGTTTATGTCTATGTAAGATCAAGATGTTTTTCATCTCCATCTCAGACATAACCATCATCTTAAACAATGCTTATATTCTTGAATCGCCAGCTTTCACGAGTGCTCTACTTTTCAAAATAGTGGAGTCTGTGTTTATTTCTTTATTGTTTTCCTGGGGGAACAAAACGTAAACCACAGGGAATGTGGTGAAGAGGTGACATGTGGGATAAGGGTTGCTCTGTGCCATCATTTTCCTGGTGCTGGTAGGAGAGGGACATGAGAACAGCAGACTCTGGGAACAATGCACGCTGCATGTGACTTGTAATCACTGATTTGACAGTTGGTTGTCACCTAAAATGAGCCACTTTCACCCCAAATGGGCAAGTTTCACCTGGAATGAGCCAGATTCAATGAGCTTTAGTGGAGATTGGAATAGAGAAGGAACATTTCCAACCACAACTCTGCTAGATAAAAGTACATTAAAGGAAATTTCTTTATGCTGTCTTTGCTCTCTGCTACCTTTACACTTTATCTTTGTTTTTCATGGCTTAAGTAACTCATTGTATACTTTATAGGGCAAATTCTTTCAATGTTTACCTAATATTTCCTTTCCTCAGATCCCATCTCCTGTTGTTTGCCTGATACCTGGGGAGGTGCAGGGTCTCTTTGAATCAAAATGAGGTCAGGCACTGGATAAGACAAGCAGAAATGAAAAGCTGAGACTGCCTCTGTACACAGCATGATAAGAGCACCAGCAAGAAGGATTTGAAGATACTGGATGGAAGAGCCACAGAAATGACCCAGCACTGAAAAACAAACCTTGCAGTTGAAATCATTACTTCATCGGGAGAAGGCTGAAGAAGTAACCTGACCAGTGAGTCAATGCTGGCTAGATAACTTCACAGATGAAATCACACATGTGTTACAGGGCCTTATGAAGAGTCTCTCTCTCTCTCTCTAAAGTAGCTGACTGCTCTACTTCTTATGCCTGGCATTGTATGGGTAACAGCTCTGTGATCAGAGGAATGTCCCTCAGGTGGGTGATACAGGATTGAAGGCATTTGAAAAATGAGTGAAAAAGTCATTAATACACCTGAAGCATTCAAACAAAGAGAGTAAGCCCCAGGAAAAGATTAATGATTATGTCTTCTTGAACATCACCCAGTGTGAAGGTCCTGTGACTAAATAAAAAATAATGGGGACAAGAGAAGTAAGCAGCACTTGGACATCAGGAAAAGGGGAAAATATCCACTCATACAAACACCAACTGAATATGTACAGTGGTGGTGAACTGATGTTAGGCACATACTCTTCACAGTGGTACTTCTTAGCTTTAATTAGAAACTCTTAACATTCATTTTCGAACAGTTTTTCTATGTCTAGTATTCTGAAGATATGAATAAACACAGAGATGTGTGCTAACATACATAGCTACACAGACAGTTACGGTTTCAAAAATAAATGTGCACCTGAACACTTCCAACACATTCTACAAGGCCCAATCTCAAGGAGATGTGGTGAATCGTTCTCCAGCTGCCTGGCATTTCAGCAGGCAGCGCTGCTGTACGAAGGATGAACAAAGCACACAGACCTGATCTGATTAAGCAGGAGCCCATGGCCACCCCCCACAGTTCAAAGTGCTCTGAACACTTTGAAGAGCTTTAGATCTCCAAATGTTCCTTCAGAGCTTCAGAAAACTACAGAGGAATCCAAAGAGCCTATCAATTGCAGTGCGAAGGTCAACTACAGGGAACGTACTGTCCCACCTCACCTGTCTTCTCCCAAAACCTGTGTTTCTTATTCTCTGTATTATCCTAACATTTACCTGAAGGCTGCAAAGCCAGCTTTTGCCTATGAGGCACTTAGCTTCTTCTAAGTATGATATCATAACTTTCTGGATCAAGTGTGTAACTCCTACCTGTGAATTTCTTCTAGCCTCCACGCCTCCTGGAAACCTCTAATTCACATATCTAATAAGTCTTTAAAATTATACGGTGCACCACTGACACTAATAATTACCTTTAAAAACACTTCCAGTGCGGATAGCAAGCTAATTAGGACAATTTTAGTGGCTGTAGACTTGAAAAGGACATTATTAATTGAGGGCCTTACATTACTCTTAGAACACCTTTATCAATTTTTATGATTTCTTAAAAATGTTAATACAAGGCAGGCATATGGAACTCTAATTGAAGAGTAAGAGAGTCTTGCCACACTTCATAAAGCCTCTCATGGGTGCAGTGTAACCAAAGGAATACACAGAGAGCCCTTTCTGCAAATTCCTCCCTGTGGATTCCTACTGAAACCAGAAAGACTAATTTAATTTTTCCCAACACACCACAAATGTGGGTTGACCGCTCTGTAATTAGGAGTGCCTTTTGCAAATGAATTTGTTATAATTAGATCTGGTTCTAAAGCCAAAATACAGTTGTAAGTATTTTTACCTGCATTTTTTTTTCATTTCTTTTTAAGCCAAGCCTTAAAAATAAATAAATAAATAAATAAATAAATAAATAAATTTCACAAATGTTGAGACAAGTTTACAAGCCTCAGTTCCTCAGTAGTAGGATTTATACGACTCAAGTTTCAAAGTCCACAGCAATGCAGGAAAGAACAGCAAACACAGGAAGGGAGCACAGGAAAAGGAAGTAATGGACTTCAGATTTTCAGTGGAGACATTACATCATTTGTTTTGCAATGTATCTGTATTTCACAGCCAGAATAATATCAGCCAGCTCCAAGATAAGGAACATATTTATTCAGAGAATAAACTATTTCAGATTTCATCATTACGTCAATATTTGCCATATTAACATTAGAGTTCCTTTCAGTTAATACCCAATAGTTAATAATACATCACGTGCAAAGGGAAAAGATCTTCTGAATGAGTTAAGTACACATTCCAAGAAGCACCAGGTTCATAGTCTGGTTAACTCCAGTTTTGGAGGACTTTCCTTACTTGGTGCAAGGAGATAGGAAGATGCCCTCAACTGGCAGGTATTTTTCCTTTTTTATTTTTTTTTTTAGAGATTTCAGAGCAGAACCTGACAACTACAGATTATCACACAATATCTGCAGACAACCTGGCCAAGCCTTTGCAGACTGGATACTACGTATAGCAATCTTTATGCAGAGACTCCACCCTGCCCTACGGCAAAGTATGGAGGATACCAGGCTCTGGAGTTGGGTTATTGTTGCAATTGCCTGAGGAGTTGTAGAATCATTGAATATTCCAAATTGAAAGGGGCACATAAGGACCACTGAGTCCCTGCAGATGGAAGAGGGGCAGCATCCACTGAGGCTGTTACTTTGATGTAAATGCTGGGCTGTTGCAGATAGGAAAATTCTTATACACAACTCTTAAGAAATATGAGTTTTCATAGGCTCAAGGAGCAATTTATTAACGACAACTCCACTAATCCTCATGAACAGATGACTTCATGATGGACTTACATGCTCTTATTGCAACACCAAGGTCAGCTGCGTGTATCTCCACACATTCCTGCAGTACACATAGTTACGACCACATGAACCAGTGAGCAGCATCCACTCCCTCTCACCATGTTCATACGCAGTGTGTGGGTTTCTCCTATTGTTTCTCCTGTCCCTAATACACACATATATGACTCTGAGAATTTGCTACTCATTATTCAGCAGCAGCCCCCCAGAGATGGAGTAAGCATGCCTTGTGACACTACATTTACCACTGCATGGTGATGACTTTGTGATTGATGATTCACCCATCTGCTCCCAGGGAGTAACCTTTGCTTTGTGAACCTCTGTTTGCATCTCCATTGTGCACTGCCTGAAGCTTGCCATCTGTGTCTCTGCATTCTTGCACTCACACAGGTCTCACCATAAACGTGCTAGCAAAATGGACCGTACCGAAAGCCATGGAGACCAAAGCTATTCACACCATGTGACATTGTTTTTCAGTGCTATGTGTTTAGAAGGAACTGTAAGCTAAGAGCTTGTCTTGCAGGCTTGGTCTACTTCTCTCTCTTTTGCTCTGTCAGAGCTGTGTCATGTGTGGCCCAGAATGGCAGTTCCCATGCTGTGCAGCAGCTCAGGACCTGCAGAGAAGGGCCTCAGACCACCATCCTCAGCCATGTGCAGAAACAAATGGAACTGTCATAATTCACAGGAGAACAAAGGCTGATAATTTTCTGCCTAAAATGATAATTTCTTTGTAAAATTCCATGACTCTGTCTGCTGTTATATCAATTAATTTTCCTTATTCCAAAGTTGTTTTTTATTCAAATAAGGTTCCTAATAATGCAAATGTCATTCAGCTTTTTTCTGGTAGGCCATGTTAAGTGCTTGTCAGAGAAGTGTTCATTTCTGCCCAAAAAAGAATTCTGAATTTGTATAATACTTTGTGAACAACCAATGGTTTTATTAGCTTTACAGAACACACCTCCCCCCTACAGAAAAGATGGTTACTGACAGCAAAAGAGATGCTACAAAATAGAATTAAATGTAACATTCAAAACAATGAGTATTTCTCTATATATTAACATTTATACCAAGCTTAAAATTAGTATTATTTGGATCACAGACCACTATTGAATGCTACTGCAAAAAAGGAAATTACATAAGCAATGATTATTACCATTTAAAAATAGCTAACAGTGTAAATTGGAAGATTTAATGCTTTCTTCTTTTAATGTACAGCCCCATTTCCAGAATTTCACTGAACTGTGTGGACAGAACAACTGTCACAGCTGTCTATCAGAGTTGAATTAGATGAAGACAAACAATACAGGCTTTGTGGTTCAACTGAAGCAGCAGCCTCAAAAGTTTCCATTTCTCATCCAAGGGCACTGTGGGAGCATTGTCTTCTCCCTCTCTGAAAAGAGAATGGAACAATTATGTTACTGAAATTCCTCCACAGTGGGTCTGAAAGAATGTTTAGGTCCAGCCAAGGAGACAGGAGAAACTAAAAGTAGGGGTTCCATGGACAGCAGGTGGGGGCAGTTTCCGGGTATATACCTCATGGACATAATGGTCCTGATTCTTCTCCTGTAGGGTAAAGCCAGCACTGGAAGATTTAATAGCAATGGAGGAAATGGCAATATAAAATGCCAAGTGCAGGAGTAAACTTGAAACAAAGCTTTATTGGCTTTCTGAATCTATCAGGTAATTGATTTTAATGTGGAGAGCATAGTTTTAAATAGAAAGTAAAATATACTATTACACAGAAGGTTTTTTTTTCACCATTTACCATCCTAGTGGCCCTACCAAGAAAAGTGCTGAGTACACAGCCTTCATGGGTGTCAGATGGGCTCAGATTTAAAGCAATGGCCCATTTTGTTCCTCCTGATAGCAGCAATATTCATATTCATCAGCAGTAGAGATAAATTAATATTTGGCTTCATGCAAACACATACTTATGTGCTACAGCACAACCTTAAGAAATCAGCTGCTGAGTTGCCTCACTTCAGAAGTGGTAGGTATGAGAATGACAAATCATTTCATCCTGTTGTACTAGCAATCTCATCTTTCCTGAAGTTATTTTAGCACTCAGAATGTATACACAAGGAATCCATAAGTGCTTGGGTGCAATAGATTACCTGGAGCTACAACAACTACTTGCAGGAATAGTCAGCACATTTCTAGAGAGTTTCTACTCTTTTCCTTCAAGACAACAGGAGTGTAAAGGCTGTCAGTCACCTACAACAATGTCAAGGAGTAGGTGTCTGCATGCAGGACAAACTGTGCAATGATTTCTGTATTCTCTCCACATAGACAACACACCCCCCCAAAGCCATGAGATTTGGCAGCAGGATCATTTGATGATCAACATGAAGAATTTTTAGCCACTTCTAGTGGCTACATTCTAAGGGAAACTGTAGGTCCTTCACAGAGCAGCTGATTTTAGCCATAGTTACACTTTATGCAATAGCACAGAGGATTGTCAGTTCTACCTGGGGCTTAGCACAAAGGTGCAACATTAAAAATAAATAAATAAAATAAAATAAAATAAAATAAAATAAAATAAAATAAAATAAAATAAAAAAGCAACCACATAATGACAGCAAGTTATTCTCAGACTCTGACATGTTTTTCAGTAAGCTACTGATAAGATGGTGCAGGGACCAACCCCTGCCTGAAAAGGAAGGTTTCTCTTGTAGACAAAAGATACTTGATCAGATGAACAATCTGAGTAAGCTCAGAAGCTCAAAGAGCTCAGAAGAAACCAAAACTCTGCATTCTTAAGGTTCTACATAGGCAAACTAATGCTTTGACAAAGTGACACTTTCTTAATCTCCATTAGTGCTAAACTAATTAACAAAGCAGTTTTATACACTGCAGTAAGTAGTATCTCCTTTCTTGGAGAATCCCTAGTGTGATATAAGGGTGATTGAGTATCTAATTACTCCATAATTGAATGCACACTTTGTACATTTTTCACTAGTTTAAGCTTAATGCTTTTGGTCCAAAAATCAAAGTCAGTGAAATTAAGTTGAACTGCAATTTCGGCAGCTATTGTATTACTGGATTACTTTTGGAAAGGAGCCTAATTACAAGCCAATCTGAAGATTTCAGTTGTGCTTGTTACAAAAATACCTAATGTATAATCTAACAAAAGACTAATTATATATACTGGTGGTGGTGTTATTCATGTTTACCCTTCATCACATTTAAGACTAATTTTTCTACCATGCTAAATTAATAGCACTGTTCCACGATACATATAATCAAGTAACACACTATTATCTACTATGCAGACATCAAGGTACCTGCTTCTCTTACTCTTTTGAAGTGTTTATAGAAAGGTGTGAGGGTTGCTCTGAAAGTAACGCCTCCTATTTTAAGATGTTAGCCCACAACATCAGGGGTAGTGCTGGTGTTATGATGGTAGAGGTTTAATCTCCCTGCCAATATTCCATTACATTTTATTACTCTGTGTCAGACAGTAGAAGAGTAGTCTGACAAAATGGCGTCTGATATGGAAGAGTTCAGGAAGCAGAGAAAAGTCACTGAAATCCTCCATGTAGAGAGAAAAATGGTTACCCATTGACATTCATCAGCAGACATTTGCTGAACATTTATGGAGACCAAACAGCAGATGTGAGCACAGTGATGTGGTGGGTGGTGCATTTCAGCAGTGACAGCAGCAACGAGTAAGACAAGCCACATTCCAGATGGCCATACGCAGCCGTCCCACTACAAATGAAGAGTGTCTCAATCAACTCATCCACATAAATTAGCAGATTATGACCAGGGAACTGTACACATTCAAATATCGGCTTCACTGCATTAGAAACAGGACAGCAATGTTGCTAAGTTTGTGCCAGGTGCATCCCATGAATGCACCATCCAGGAATAGAAAGAACATTGTTCGCAATTTCATCAGGACCTAGTGAATACAAGCTTGAAGGTGACAGTTTCCAGGATGGCATCATTACCGCTGACGCAGGGTGGTGTTACTACTCCAAGCCAGAGTCAAAACAGCAGTCCATGGAGTGGCAATGTGTGAATTCCTCACCGAAGAAAAAATTCAAGACACAACCCTAATCAGGTAAAGCGATGTGCACTTTTGGAATAGGAAAGGGGTGATGCTTCTGGATTTCCTGAAACCCGGACAAACCATCAACTCTGACCACTACAACATGATGATAACTGAGCTGAAGGCTCAAACTTCCAGAGCTGGGCCAGAGAAGAGGGCAACTTTTCTCTTGCAACATGATAATGCCAACCCCCACACCAGTCTGAAGACTGTGGAACACATCATCAACTCTGCCTTAAGTGTCCTACTCCGTGCACTGCATAGTCCTGTTTGGCACCTTCTGACTTTCATCTGTTCAGGCCAGTGAAAGATGCACTGCATGGGCAATATTTTCCCACAATTATGTCATCATAGCAGCTGTTAAACACTGTGTCACCTCCGCTTATTGACATTTTTACAAGAGCAACACGAAGGCTCTCGTTCATCATTGGTGAAAATGCACAGATAATGATGGTGACTGTGCTGAAAAATAGTTTTTATAACTAGCAATGTGCTCTATTAAATAGTGTTAGTGTGCTTCCTGCATATGTTGCAGCTTCCATGGAAATAAAAAGGAGGCATTATGTTTGGAGCAACCTATGTAATACTCAAAATTGCACAAATGTGCTCGTATATTATAACCAGAAAACTGCCTAGATTATTTACTTGTTTATAGAATGTATTTCTGCCTTTTAAATCTCCTTTGCTTGGATTGAGTACTACATATAAACAGAGCTCCAATGCTTCTGATGGAATCCTCTAACGCATAAACTGTTGGAAAACCTGAGGTCTATCATCAGAATACTCATGATTTAAAGCAAAGAAACATTAACAAGGTAAAAAAAAATCCACAAATCATCCTGAGAATGTAAATATAAATATATGCATGATTCTAAGAATACTTACTTCTAATTTTTGCATTTGTCAATTTTACATACTTAGATTCCTCACAGAGAATGTATTCTCTTGAAGAAAACTGGAATAAATGCAAGACAGCAACTATCTCAAAAACAGGGAGCAGAGGAGGAGCAAAGATCAGGGCCAAGCATAGCATACTTCTAAGAACTGAAGGTCTCAAGGCTCCCATAGTAAGACAACGTATTTTAGGAAAGAGAAAAGATAGAAGAAAACTTCAGCAAAAAAGATTACTTTTCAGTCTTCTGGAAGTGTAGGAAAAGTGCATATAAATGAAATACAAAGAAATGAAATAGGATGGGCATGATAATATGCCTTTTCATCTGATAGGGAGAAATAAGATACCACACTGGAGCAGCCTTAGGCCAAAATCATTATATGAGATCAAAAACTTTCTTCTGCTACTTAAAAGTAGACGATGTACTTTCTGGAGAGCTTTTCATCCTCCTTTATCTTACCATTTTGCTTTCCACTATTGTCTTACACAATATCTCCATGGTGTTTGCTTTTTTCTTAGAAGCATCTTGTCTTCTCCTTCTTAAAAACAGCTAAATTAAAAAGTTCATTAAGAGTTAAAAAAACTTCAATAGACATGAGTAGCACTTTGAACACTGACTACACATTACCATTATTCTACACCTTCCTAAAATCTGAAAGTATTATCAGGCATGGATTCAGAGCATCTCAGAAAAGAAATCGCACTACCTTATAAACTCTTATGTCTCTTCCAACAATTTGTAATTCTTTCCATGAAGTTCAAATTTACTGAGTGTACTTCTAGTTTTGTATCAATATCAAGCTAACAAAAGTACCTTTGCTTCTCTTGAGCTCAGAGGATGGATAAAAATGCTTTAAAAATTAGAGAAAGTTCTGCTTTGTAGCCCTGCTCTGCCACAAGATCTGGAGTTAGTGATAAAATACAGCTAATAACAATCACTTCTGGTACACATTTATCGCTCTCTGAGTGAGAATTATCAATTACAAAAATATTTTCAGTAACCCAAGCAACTTGTTCAGGTTTTGTATTTATTCCAAAATATTGTTGTCTGTTAAGCGTGAGTTTGTATGCAAGTGTTCACTGCAATGTTTTCATCCATATAGGATTAGAATTACAAATTCCAGTAAGAATAAGGATCCGTAAATACCTGCATTGTCAGTTTCAATAAATAAAAATATTCCCATTAAAACTGCCTTTGTGATTTCATTAAGGCAAAACAAAGTGTACTCCCACTTCACAACGTTGTACTACATTGTAGAAGAAAGCATATATGTTGTAGGCTTTCTTCTTTATGTCTGTAGTCATACACATGTACTTGTATGTCCTAATATCCTCAACATTTGAGAGCTGTTACATAATCTAGAATCTCCACACTTTAAAAATGAGGTACAGTTTAAGTAGAAATGATTCATGCTTTTCACCACTTTGCCTCAATACAATCTCC